GGAAAGTGTAGAGAAAGTTTGTGAAAGTTTGTGAAAGTTTGTGAGTGAATTGATTGATGTGATAGATAAAAATAATTTTTTTAATTGATAATTGTGTAAGATTACTATTTTACCCTTAAGTTAAAAAAGTTTATAATTATTATAATTAAAAAATAAATATATAAATTTTAATTTAAAAAATTATAAAATATTAAAAATAATTTAATTTAAATATTTACTTTAAATTTAATGATAGATAAAAATTAAAAATTTAATAAATAAATATGATTTATACTTTTACCCTTAGATTAAAATGAGTATAATATTATTTATTATAAATAATAATAATTACAATAAAATTATATTAATAAGTATAATTTTTAAAAAAATAATAAATAATGATAAGAATAAAAATAAATATTAAAAAAATAATAAGAATCATAATAAATAATAATGATGCTAATTATAATAAATAATATTAATATTAATAAAAATAAAAAATATTATTATTTTAATTTTATAAACAGGTATTATTTTTTTTATATTTTCACTTTTTGATATTAATATTTAAATAATAGGATTTTCTTAATATAAAAAAAATTGTATAATATAAATAAACAAACTTTAATATATATAAAAGTGAAAAAATAAAAATATTAATATTTAATTTATATATATAAATTAAATATTAAATATTAAATATATATATATAATATTAATATTTAATATATATATTATATATTAAATATTAATATTTTATATATATATACGATTATGTTATATGTATAACATATAACATAATCGATTATGTTATATTATGTTATATGTTATACATATAACATAATTGATTATGCTATATATATGCACAGCATAAACGATTATGTTGTGTATATATACACAGTATAATCGATTATGCAAGACTATATAATCGATTATGGCCTTGCATAATCGATTATGTAGCCTTGCATAATCGATTATGCTTCCTTTGTATATGCTTCCTCTACTGCATGGCACACTACGCATGCATGCGAAGGGTATTTTCGGGTTTTTATAAATTCTACGTGGCTTTCTTCTGCTTTCTTCGCTTTTGTGCGAGGACGAGAATCACGCTTCTCCCCTCTTTTCTTCGCCTTTTCGTCGTCGCAAATCACCGGAAACGAACAACAAGTTTCTTCGCCTTTCTTTACTTGTGAACAGTAAATCCATGAAAACAAACACTAGCTAATCGCGCAACTCAAGTCGCTAAGCATAGCTTTCCAATGAAAAGATCTTGTCACTCACTTATTCGCTTCTGAATGTGCCACAGTGGAAATATCGCAAGATATCTGTGACCAACATGAGTGGGAATAAGCTAATGCTGTGAATGTAGCAGATGGGTCAACCAGATGACTTAAAGTGAATCACCAAATCAGCACTTTGTTCTGAGGACCGTAGCTGTAAAGGAAAATTCTCAAAAGCATGGTGCATAATATGTAGAATAGATGTGACACTATTCGACCAATGTGTCACAAATAGGTGAAAGAATCCACTACTCACGATGCATTAGCACAAACAAAAGCCATCCATCTAACTTGCGACTGGTAACTAGCAACCAATTTATGGATCAAACGCTATAAAGGGAAGGGGTCCACAACTACCTTTCTACACACTTGGTCATGAAATATGCTACAGAAAAAAAAATGTAAAGAAACAGCAGAACCATTAATGTGCACTTTGGAATGCCCATGTCGATGAGCCAAACTTAGCTTGTGCTCATAGTTATTTTGACCAATTTTGAGATCTCAATCAATTACTCTCTCGTGTTGGGACCAAAACCAACTTGGCAAAGCACACGTTGAAATAGGACTCGTGACTGATTCGCTGTGACAGCGTATAACATTGGCAAAATGATAAGGAAACTATTCCCTTTATGCATCATAAAGAAAGAGAGTGCCCACATACTTTGCAGAGTTTGGAGAGTCAATGATAATTATTGGACAAACATTGGTGAAAATTATATTTACATTATCTTCCGTGATCGTACCCAATTGGCAATTGATGTCCCTGAAAATGAATTTGATTAGTGACTTAGTCCATATTGTTCATTTTTTTCGTAAATTCTGTAGAGCTCTTGTAAAGCCTAATACCATAATCATAAGCAAAATTCAAAATTGTGACCCTTGTAATTTTGGTGTCTATTTTTGGAATTGCCACAAACCCTTTATTAATTACTTTTATATGAGTTGAATCGAAGTTGATCGAGATATATATATATCTAGAATAGAGAGCCTGAGGTTGTTGTGAATGGTGGCTAGTTGCTGCAAAAAGTGACGGATATTTTAAGCCTTCTTTTGATTAGTCTGTGGAGTTGGCCGTTGGGCATTTCAATCGTTGTCACCTTTTATTATTCAGTTTGGCGTGCAGAGAAATATATTGTATGGCAAGGTGATAGTGACCCCTTTTTAATGTGATCCCCGTGGTCTTTTTTTCTTTATACGTGCGTGCATGTCCTTTCTACTTGCTTCATTTTCTTTTTACTTTTATTGTTATCTCTCTCTATCTGCTTTATTTGTGAAATGTCCTTAATTTGGCGTGGCGTTTTCCATTAAATGGAGGTGGTTCTGAAGCCAAGAAAACTAGGGCATCAAATTATTTTATTTTTATAACACATGGTGGGACTCCTGAAATTGTGTCAGTTACTGGTTTTTGAGGGGTCAGATTCTGATATGTCAGTCTCTTCTTTACTTAGCACATGCTTCCGTAAATGCCCAACAACACATGTACCATTTACCCACCTCATATTGCCTTCCACACTATTCCTACTTATAGTTCTGCCACTTTCCAAATACCCAATTGCAAATATCAAACCAAGTAATGAATTCTACCTCCATTATGGAGGGAGGTAAGGCATCATGCCAAGTACCAAGGGCCCCTCATATAATAATGCTAAAATATATTTATTTTAGTCGCTTGATTGGTTTAAACTTCACTCTTATTTTTGGATTAAGATACAGAGGGGAAAGTGGAGCATATTATGATGGATGAGTGGTTTGGCGAATTTTTCTGGTTAAGTGAATAATGGAGTGTCTTTTCTTCCTTGTGCACCAAGGTGGATTTTATTCCAAAAGAACATGAAGGTGGTGGTGGACTCGAGAAAAAGAATCAAAAGGCAATTGAACAGGAAAGTGGAAAGTAGATGGAGCGAAGAGGATATATGACATTTCAATCATTCCATTCCAATTGAGAACACAAGTACAACTTCAACCATGCAGACCTTTCTTTTCTTTTGGCGACAGACAAGTCACCAGAGAAGATTATGTATTGGGAAAAGATAAAAGATAAAGTTAAGAAATACAGTACTGACAAAGAGGACTCTCTTTGAATCTCTGGTTTATCAATAAACATGTGGGTCACTGAACCCATGTTAAGCTCAGTCTTTAATAATAATAATAAATAATGTCAATCATATATATATTTTGACAAGTTTTTTAATGTAATGGGAAAGGTATCAGACTGTCAGTATCTCCACCCGAGGTGTCTTTGGCATTCTAGTTTTTTTTGGTCTTACGCATATCATCTTTTGTGAATAATTAAGCTCTATCTTAACTTTTTTACTATTTGTCATAACTTGGAATAAAATTAACATAATTTGAAGTTATCAATACTAATGTAAATTAGAACTACAAGATGTAAATTAAAAAATTGAGAAATATTTATGCAATTGTAAATCAAAATTTTGAGTTTACATTAGAAAATTTGTTAAGGAATCTTCGTAAATTTGTGATAAGCAAATTAACTGCTACACTCCAAAGTGGTACCTTGCAGCAGAAATTTCGATCGTATTGGATTTTACGAGTATGGTACACCTTGTAGCTGAAATTTCGATCGTATTGTTTTTACGAGTGTGGTTAAACCCTAAACCTGCATCAGACACGGTCTATATTTTGGAAATTTATTTTCAGGATATTCCATAAATAAAGTATCACGTGGGACTTGTGAACAAAGCTAGGATAAGAAGGAAGAACGAAAAATGAATGATACATGATAGAGCTTATTAATTTGTCAATCAATGCCCAAAGCAAGTTTATGGATAAAAAAAAATACTCGTATATGTTACTGTAGATTGACATATACTAGAAGGAACTAATAGAACATTTTTCAAGTTATTGATGTTTGATTTGTTTATATTAAACTATATATATTTTAAAGTGGGACCCACCCTAAGAATAAATTTTATATTTAACCTAATGTTTGGTGTATGGAAGAGGCTAGTACTACTGAACCGTATTTTGAATTTTGAATAAAATTAAAGAGAAGTAAACAGAAAACATTAATTAAAAAATAATTTTTATTGTATAAAAAAACTTGAGTGTAATAAATAATTTTTTTAATAATTTATCGATTGCAAAAGTTTATACTTATCTTGATATGCTTATGGTGAGGAAGATGATGAGATGGCTTTGTTCCATCTGATGTAGGAGTAAGGAGAATAAAGGTTAACATTATTGAGAAAGTGGTAGAAGCAATAGGCAGTTACAGAGGAGATGCTTGTGTGAAAAGGGGGAGAAAGAATTGTAGTAAGTAGGAAGCAGGAAGCATCATCCCCTAATGGCACAAGAAACAAAATGATGGGGTATTGGTTGGGCATGTCATGATGGGTTTGTACACCACTCAACAGGGACTTATCTTTTTTACTCTGTTTGCTTTCACTTTATGGAGATATTAGGTCCATCCCAACTTTTCAGACTTTTCCTACTACTACCCCCATTCAATTCAACCAAACATAATGAAAGCAAACAAAAGGAAACCACTCATAGCCGTTTCCGGAATTCATGCCATTGCCAGTTTGGGGACACACATTTTCCAAGTACAAAATATAATTTCTATAACCCTAAATTGCAATAATAACTGATTCAAGAAATTAAGCGAGAGAGAGAGAGAGAAAAAAAAATTAGTATGAACAAAAGAATTCTACTTTTTTTTTTTGGCTTCCTTACAGAGTCCTTCGGACAAAAAACAAAAAACAAAAAAAAAGAATAGAAAAATAGAAAAAGTAAGTGTTTCTATTTATGGAGGGTGTAATGTAAAAAAGTAAAATGTGACCTCCTAAGAGTAATTAACATGGACGCTGGCATTGATGCCAGAATGGCAGAGAGGGCAAGTGTGAAGGGTGGACCCACACATTGTGCAGAGACAGAGATGTCTGCACGGTAGCAACAGCACTATCGATTCCCTCACCCCACACCGATTGCACATCCTTTTATCGTTTCCTCCGCCGCCGCCCTCGCGGTGGACGTTGCTGCCGCAGCTGGACTCAGCGTCGTCGTCATGATGATGCTCCTGGCTAACGTGCGCCAGCACCTGTTCTAGATTGTTCCTAAGCGAATTGGCGGTTGCCTCGTTGGTCTGAGCCAACTCCCTCCAAATCTGATTCTCGACGCAGAGGCTCTTCACTCTTTCTTGCAGCACCCAGTTTAGGTTCCCGACGCGGTGAATCTCCTCGTCCTTCTCCTTCAGTTTCTTGGCCACCGCCTCTTGTATCGCCGTCACCAGCATTCTTGAATGCCTCACTCTCTGCTCCTCCAACTCCATCCTAACCTTCTCCGTCTAGACAAACAAGATAAAATAAATCATCAATTAACCAATTTCAGAGTCACGTGTTGAAAGAGGTTGTTAGGAAACGAGACTCACGTGCTGCGCGATGAAGCGGTCGATCTCGTACTGGTGGCTGTGGAGATGGTCGAAGATGGAGGGCTGAGATGAGAGCTTGGGCTTCTGCGGGAGCGGGGGAGCGTTGGATTGGGAGTCTCTGTCCCTGGAGCGCTTCCTCGGGAGGGGGATGTGGTAGGTGAGGCCACTGTCGGAGGGTAACACCGTGGACGCCAGAGCCATTCCACCACCACCACCACCGTCCATTTGCGCCTTATTCGTCGTCGTCATTTCTCTGATTGAAACTAAACCGTGTCAGTTGTGACTCACACGACAGATAAAGAGGACGAGATTTTGGGGCTTGTTTGGGTTACCTGGCGGTGAGTAACTGCGGAGGGATGAGATTCATGTGATTGTGAGGAGCCTCAACTGCCATGTCTTGTGACTCACGCTTTTTCCTTTTCTTGAGGCAAAGAGAGAGAATAGGTAGCATTAGCAAATAGCAAATAGCAAATAGCAAAGCATGCAAATGAACCACTCCCGTTTATTTATGCCTTTGCCTCTTGTGCCATTCCTAGACACAACAACACAAAGTCAAAACTCTAGAGAGAGAAAAATCTAAGCGGATATTAAATTTAATTTAATTAATTAATTAATTCCTTTTGTATCTCGTGGCGTCATCCAAACACGGTATACGTATGGCGCAATTAAGTGAATCGTGGAACGCTATTATACAATCCACTCTATCAAACTTGACTTTTTCTCCCGTATTAAAATTATCCCTAATTTAAATTCATTTTTTCCCATTCTTTTTTTGTTTTTTCGCGACGAGGAAAACTGGCCACGTGCGAGGTGCGTGCGTGAGTGGGGTGGGACCCACTTCTGTTCGGGAGCGGTTTCTTCGCTGTTTTGCCTCCGTTTCTTCTTAAACTCTTGTGTACCGTACGGACGAATTCGCCTGCCGTGAAAAAATCTGCTGCGGTGCAGGTCCACGCCATCTCGCTAGGCCTGCAACCGGTCAACGTTCAACCATGAAATTCTGAATACTACTACTACTACTACTCTCACCTCATCTAACGGGGAAACGAAAAGACCCACTTTTTTTTTAAATAAAAAAGAAAAAACTTAAATTAGAGACGTTATGCAGTTTATTGCTTAAATTGGCTTGGCAGTTATCGTATTTGAATAGACTGCATTATTGTTGGTCAACATTAATAATTTTTTTCATTTATAATTATCACTGCTCAATCTCACCCATGTGGATTTCATGGCTTGAGTTATTATTAGTATTTTCTTGAATTACAGTAATAACAGCATCTTCTACGAGAATTGTTTATAAACAATTCCTATTACCATATCAGTTTTAATCTACTTTATGGCTTATTTAAATTTTAATAAAATAAAATTATTTTATTAAAATTTAAATAACTTATAAAATGGATCAGAACTTATATGACAATAGTATAATACAAAAATTATTTATAAGCAACTCTCACTAAAAATGCTTTACCATAATTAAGATTTTTTTTCAAATTTTATTAAATCTTTAAATATTTGTAGTTTCAAGATTTTGACTTTTGAATCTTAAAATTAAATGAATTAGTCTTTATTAAATGATAATGCTTTTTTATGATATTAATTGATAATACTTAATTGCAAGAAAATATTAAAATAAGACTTTAAATTTACTTTTCCTCCTCGTAGTTTTGTATATAAGTTATTTTTAGTCCTCAAAATCATTCGTTACAAATTTGGTCATTTAGTTATAAATATTATTGATATACGATCCGTTTAATTAAACTTAAAAAAATATCTTTAAACAAGTGCTTTGTAAAAAAAATAACTATTTAAAAAATAAATAGGAGTTTTTTTTTTTTAAAAGCAGAAATTGTTCATTTTTAAAAGAAAAATTTAGATAAAAACATAAAAAAAAACTAAAAAATATATATTTATTTTATTTAAAAAAACACTTTTATAAGAAAAAACAAAGTTTAATTTGTTAGTTATATGTGAAAATAATGGGTTCAAAAATTAAAAAACATATATATATATATATATATATATATATATTAAAATTATAAGAATCACAATAGTGAATTTCAGCCAAAAATAAACTAATTTCATTCCATAATTTATATATTTTAAAATATATTAATAACTCAAAATTTTGTTTATGAAATCCAGTCATAATCTACTTGCATATTAACTTTATAATAATTAGTTTAAAATTATGTACTAGATAATTTTTTATTGATAAAGTATATAGTTTTTATAATAATAATATATAAAAATTAAACTTTAAAATTTATCATGTAAATATCCTAACAATAAAATTTTACAAGAAAATTACATTCTACATTAAACAAAGTAGTTTTTGAACTTTTATTATTATTATTGATTGAATTTTTTTTAAAAAGATAGAGTCTAATATCCCTTGAATCAACCATTTATTGATTAAGATTTTGACTTTTAGATATGAAATAAAAAGGTTAAAATATATTTATAGCTTTTATAACTTTACTTAATTTAATTTTTAATATTTATAATTTAAAATATATCTTTTTAATCTTTATATCTATTTTTTAATTCCTGCTATTAATTTCTTTATAACACTATTTCCTAACAATTATCATGCTATCTACTAGTTTCCTAACAATACAATTTTTCAGGAAACTTACATTCGACATTAAGCAAAGGAAAAACATTTTACGTTGGTATGTATATCTATTTAAGTAGATCTTTTGATGTAATAGGTAAAAAAAATTTGTGGATCTTTATTGATTTTCGACAAATATTACTAAGTTTTCACTAACAATTAAGTGGACAATGATATTTAGTGTGAGAATTTTTAACATATCATTAATTTTCTATCTTATAAGAGTGTTATCTCATATTTATCATTTTATTTATTAAAAAAATCAAAGAAAAAAAATAACATTACGAACAAAGTAGTTTTCCACTTTTATTATTGAGATTTTGACTTTAAGATTAAAAGCAAAATTATTTAAAAAAATAGTTAATAATATAATGTTTAAATTTGCCAGTTACAGTAAGCAAAGAAACAAACGTTACCCTTAAGTAACTTATCCATAACCGCTTATAATCACGAAAAAGTTCTTTATACTAAATTAGATTAAATATAATGTTATTATTAATGTTACTTTTCAAAATTAAATGAAAAAGTTTTGACTCTTGCAAAAGCTATAACATGCATAATTTTTTATTCATCATTATATAATTCCAATGTCTATCTTGCGTCAGAGCAATTTTAAGGATTTATTATAATTTAATTTTTATTTATTATAATTATTTATAAATTAAATTTTAATATTTTTATAAATTTTATTAATAAATAAAAATAATTTTATAATACAATATAAATTATTTATCATGAACATAAAATATAATTCATATATTTAAAATACTTATTTATTAGAATCTTAAATATAACTTATATATTTAAATATAATATTTATTGATATAAATAATTTACTAGTATTTTAAAATGTGTAATGTAGATGTTAACTATTCATTATATTTAATTAAAATTTTATA